CGAGGAGCTTCTCCTGAGCGGCGGACAGAGCCGCAGGCCCTCGGGGGTCCGCGGACCTGCCTGGGCCCCACGTCGCAGATCGGTGGGTCTCCAGGCCTCGCGCTGGCCCTGAGATGCCTCTGATCCCGAGCCCCTCTTCCAACACCCCCTCTTCCCCTTCGGGGAGGGGTGAACCCCTTCCCCTTGCCTTCTCCCTCTGGACCTGGGCGGGGGAGGGTCGCGAGGCGTTGCATCGTCCAAGAGAAGGGCAACATGATCAATGTGTTACGAAAAATGATGGACCCATGTTGGCCTCCTGGAGGGGCCGCTAATTCAGCACCGCCCTTCTGTGATCGACCACCTCCAAGACGACCCCAAGCTGGCCCCACGAGGCTCCCGATGAGTGCCCCAAGAGGGCCTCAAGAGGCGCCCAGTAGGCCCCCAAGATTCCCGCGAGAGACTCCCCTGAGACCCCCAAGAGGCCTCCCCGAAGCACACAGGACCCCAAGACGCTTCAAGAGGCCCCCGGGAACGCCAAGAAGCCCCCAGGACGCCTACAAGAGGCTCTCGCGAGACATCCAAAGATGCTCCGAGGAGCATCCAAGAAGCCTTTGACCTGCCTATTCGCTCTCCTCCTCTTACTCTTCCTCATCCGCCTAGTCCTCATCCTCCCCCTGCTCCCTTCTCCCTCCTCCCTTCTCCCCCCACCCTCCTCCTCCTCCTCCTCCTCCTCCTCCAACTCCTCCTCATTCTCCTGTTCCTCCTCCTGCTCATTCTCCTGTTCCTCCTCCTCCTCCTCCTTCTCCTGTTCCTCCTCCTCCTCCTCCTCCCTCCTCTGGTTCCTCCTCCTGGTTCCTCCTCGATCCTCCCCCAATAGGAATATGACGGCTTCCCAGCTGTTCTTGCACTGCGTGTTCGCCCACCTGCCTCATCAGGGCAACTCGCCTGGGCATCGTTTCTGGATGGGCTGGTGGGGTTACGCGCGGCGTCTAGACATGGTTTCAGGCCTGCCCAGGACGGTCCAGCTTGCCGAATGGACTTCCACGACGGCCCACGAGGGCAAGATCGCCCCCCGTCGGATGCTCTCGAGATGGCCGGAATAAGAAGCAACCACATCGCGACCGCATTAGTTTGGCACTCCTGCCTGTGCTGGCTTCAGTGGGCTTCTCGACCACCGAGGTTCCCCCTTCGCACTGCGAATCTCAGGCGCTTTACTGGTGCCGTTGCCCTCCTCGTCAGCCTCCCCTTCCCCTCGCCACTCCTCCTTCTCCTCCCTCCTCCTCCTGCTCCTCCATTATCCAACCTCCAACCTCCTTCCTCCTCCTCCTCCTGCTCCTCCTCCTCCTGCTCCTCCTCCTCCTCCTCCTCCTTCTCCTGTTCCTCCTCCTGCTCCTCCTCATTCTCCTGTTCCTCCTCCTCCTCATCCTCCTTCTCCTGTTCCTCATCCTCCTCCTCCCTCCTCTGGTTCCTCCTCCTGGTTCCTCCTCGATCCTCCCCCAATAGGAATATGACGGCTTCCCAGCTGTTCTTGCACTGCGTGTTCGCCCACCTGCCTCATCAGGGCAACTCGCCTGGGCATCGTTTCTGGATGGGCTGGTGGGGTTACGCGCGGCGTCTAGACATGGTTTCAGGCCTGCCCAGGACGGTCCAGCTTGCCGAATGGACTTCCACGACGGCCCACGCGGGCAAGATCGCCCCCTTCGGATGCTCTCGAGATGGCCGGAATAAGAAGCAACCACATCGCGACCGCATTAGTTTGGCACTCCTGCCTGTGCTGGCTTCAGTGGGCTTCTCGACCACCGAGGTTCCCCCTTCGCACTGCGAATCTCAGGCGCTTTACTGGTGCCGTTGCCCTCCTCGTCAGCCTCCCCTCCCCCTCGCCACTCCTCCTTCTCCTCCCTCCTCCTCCTGCTCCTCCATTATCCAACCTCCAACCTCCTTCCTCCTCCTCCTCCTGCTCCTCCTCCTGCTCCTCCTCCTCCTCCTCCTCCTTCTCCTGTTCCTCCTCCTGCTCCTCCTCATTCTCCTGTTCCTCCTCCTCCTCCTCCTCCTCCTTCTCCTGTTCCTCCTCCTCCTCCTCCCTCCTCTGGTTCCTCCTCCTGGTTCCTCCTCGATCCTCCCCCAATAGGAATATGACGGCTTCCCAGCTGTTCTTGCACTGCGTGTTCGCCCACCTGCCTCATCAGGGCAACTCGCCTGGGCATCGTTTCTGGATGGGCTGGTGGGGTTACGCGCGGCGTCTAGACATGGTTTCAGGCCTGCCCAGGACGGTCCAGCTTGCCGAATGGACTTCCACGACGGCCCACGAGGGCAAGATCGCCCCCCTTCGGATGCTCTCGAGATGGCCGGAATAAGAAGCAACCACATCGCGACCGCATTAGTTTGGCACTCCTGCCTGTGCTGGCTTCAGTGGGCTTCTCGACCACCGAGGTTCCCCCTTCGCACTGCGAATCTCAGGCGCTTTACTGGTGCCGTTGCCTCCTCCGTCTTCTTCGTCCTCCTCCCTCCTCCTCCCTCCTCCTCCTCCTCCTCCTCCTCCTCCTCCTCCTCCTCCTCCTCCTCCTTCTCCCCCTGCTCCTCCTTCTCCTCCTCCTCATCCTCCTGCTCCTCCTCCTCCTCCCTCCTCTCGCCTCCTCCTCCTGCTCCTCCTCCTGGTCCTCCTCCTCCTCCCTCCTCCTCCTCCTCCACCTCCTCCTCCCCCGTGGCCTCCTCCTCCTCCTCCTCCTCCTTCTCCTCCTCTTTTCAACGAAAGACCGACCTCAGCTGCAAGGTGTGGCGTTTTTGTCCTCCTCCTCCTCCTCCTCCTCTCCTCCTCCTCCTCCTCCTCCTCCTCCTCCTCCTTCCTCCCTGCTCTCGACCCCTCCTCCTGCTCCTCCTCCTCCTCCTCCTCCTCCTCCTCCTCCTCCATCCCCTCCCTCCTCTTACCTCCTCCCTCCGTCCCCCCTCGGACCAGCGAGGAGCTGTTTTTATGCATGAAGGGTAGGGGTCCTGAGGAAAACGGGTCTGGAGGAGGAGGAGGAGGAAGAAAGGGGATGGAGGAGGAGGAGGAGGAGAAGGAGAAGGAGGAAGAGCATAACAGGTCCTGTACCCCAGAGCTTCCCCAAAGAACAAGCTTTTCACGGGCACGAGGGCCGTCTGAACTAGCACGGGGCGCATTTACGCTTGGTTGCATTCATCTGGACGCCTACTACGGCTGGACCTAGGACGGAAGAACTTCCATCCGTCAAGAACATGATGCTCTCCGCGGGCTAAGCTGAAGAGCATTCGAGGGTACCCTCCCCCAGGATGCACATGAACATTCAACAAACATCAATTAAATGAGGGTACCCTCCCCGAACCGACATCGATCTTGTACTTCCGTCCTAGCGTATCTGACGCTGTGGCCCCAAAAACTTGGCTTTCATCATGAGCCAAATCCATGCACGTGCGCTCTGGTCGAGGGGCTCTGCCGCAAGTGGCTCCTCTGGCTGCCCCGAAGCGGGGAACAGCAAACATTCAGAATCCAACTCTCGGACCCCCCCCGCTGCGCGGCGATGCCGCTGGTTCTCCAGCATCTCGATGATGCCGTGGGCATGGAACTCGTAGCCCATGGCGTCCGGCGCCTCCGGCGCCTTGCGCGGGGTCGCCACCCCCGGCGACGAGGGGGAAAGCAGAGTGGAGAGTAGGAGGGAGAAGGAGAGCGTAGGAGGGAGCCAACGCAGCTGGGGTCTCGGTAACTCAGCTACTCCTGCTGGCGCCAGCCCCTCATGGCGGCGATGGCGACAGCTCAGATTTCGTAATGGTACGTGGGCGAAGCCGCCAGCAGTGGGTTGGAGGCCAAGTCGGGCTTCAATGTGTGATCAACATGGACCAGGACGACTATGAGTAGAGGAGGGAGGAGGAGGCGGACAGAAGAGGACTAACGAGTCAGGACACTGACTGAGGCTGATGAGGGAAGAAGAGGGGGAGGGAGAGTGGGTAGCATGAAGGAAGCGGGTCCTGGAGTGAAAGGGCCAAGATGTTCTCCCACATCTTGACCCTCGGAGCCACCCACGGGCCTGGGGACATCAAACAACTGGAAGAGCTGGCCCTTGGCAGAGCCCTGGGGTCAAGGACACTTGCGCTCATGGCGAAAGACGGGGAGGATGTAGCTTTCGAGGCGTGGTTCTCCCTTTCTGTGCCCTCCGGAGGCCCTCTTTGTCGCCACGGCCAGAGATCGACACGACAGCGGCCTGCCTGTTTGGGCCTGGCCCTCCCCCCCCGGTAGCCACCGCACCAACTGAGGGGCAACGGGGGGGACAGCGACAGGGGGGGGGAGGGGAAACATCGACCTGGAATCGGCGGTGCATCGCCGACAAATCGGCGAAAGGCCCCCGATGGTGCATCCGCACGCTCCTGGGCAGCAGGCATGGGCGACTGGGGGTTGATGCGTCCCCCCCTATGCGTATCCCCCTCTGTCGCTGCCCCTGACCAACTGTCGCTCGGGCGAAGGGGCATTCGGCTTTCTCGGGAGCGGCCAAGAAGGGGGTGTCCAAGAGGGGGGGGATGCAAATCATGACCGGCGGCATGTGCGCGGCCCAGCGGAAGGGAAATTCCAAACGGCCAGAGGTGCGCCCACACAGTGATTATGAACGTGAATAAGAAAAGTATCCCATTATAGACATAATACAAGCTAAATTCTGCTTAGCAATGCTAGCCCTGATAAGCCTTACCAAGCCCTGCTAAGCCCTGCTGAACTCTGGTAGGCCATGCTCAGCCCCCCTGCCTAGCCCTGCTTAGCCCTGCTAAGCCTTGCTAAATCTTGCTGAGCCCTGCTAAGCCCTGCTAAGCCTTGCTAGGCCATGCTAAGCCCTGCTAAGCCCTGCTGAGCCCTGCTAAGCCCAGCTAAGCCCTGCAGAGCTCTGCTAAGCCCTGCTAAACCCTGCTATGCCCTACTATTCCCTGCTAGTCAGTCCTGCAAAGCCCTGCTCAGTTCTGCTAAGCCCTGCTAAGCCCTGCTAAGCTCTGCTGAATTCTGCTAAGCCCTGCTAAGCCTTGCCACGCCCTGCGGGGCCCTGCTAAGCACTGCTAAGCCCTGCTAAGCCCTGCTAAGCCCTGCTAAGTCCTGCTGGGTCCTGCTAAGCCCTGCTAGGCCCTGCTAAGCCCTGCTAAGCCATGCGAAGGCTTGCTAAGCCCTGCTGCGCCCTGCTAGGCCCTGCTAAAACTTGGTAGCCCTCTTGAGTTCTGCTAAGCCCTGCTAAGCCCTGCGCAGCCCTGCTGAGCCCTGCTGAGCCCGCCCTGCTAAGCCCTGCGGAGCCCTGCTAAGCCTTGCGGAGAACTGCAAAGTCCTGCTAGGCCCTGCTGAGCCCTGATTTGCCATGCGAAGGCCTGTCTAGCCCTCGCCCTGCTAGGCCCTGCTAAGCCCTGCTAAGGATTGCTCAGGCCTGCTAAGCCCTGCAAGGCCCTGCCAAGCCCTCCTGGGCTCTGCTAGGCCCTGCTAAGCCCTGCTAAGCAGGAAAAAGCCCTGCTGAGCCATGCTAAGCCTTGCTAAGCCCTGCTGAAACCTGATAGGCCATGTTAAGCCATGATACACTGTGCTACGCCCTGCTATGGCCTGCTAGGCCCTGCTAAGCCGTGCTAAGCCCTCGCCCCGCTAAGCCCTGATAGGCCCTGCTAAAACCTGCTATGCCCTGCCAAGCCCTGCGCTGCTAAGACCTGTTGGGCACTGCTGGGCCCTGGTACGCCCTGCTGAGCCCTCCTAAGCCCTGCTAGGCACTGTTAAGCCCGACTAAGACCTGCTAGGCCCCGCTCAGCCCTGCTATGCCTTGTGCTGGGCACTGATAGGCCCTGCTGGGCCCTGCTGACCCTTACTACGCCTTGGTCAGCCTTACTACGTCCTGATAAGCCCTGCTAGGCCCTGCTGAGCTCTGCCAGGCCCTGCAAAGCCCTGCAAAGCCTAGCTAAGCATTGCTAAACCCAGACAAGCCTTGCTTAGCCCTGCTAAGCCCTCCGAAGCCCTGCCAAGCCTTCCTAAGCCCTGCTAAGCCTTGCCAAGCCCTGCTGACCTCTACTGAGCCCTGCTAAGTCCTCGTCGGCCCTGACTGGCCTTGCAAAGCCCTGGTGAGCCCTGCTAAACCTGGCTAAACTCTGGTAGGCGATGCTTAACCCCCTGCTTAGCCCTGCTTAGCCCTGCTAAGCTTTGCTAAGTCCTGCTAAGCCCTGCTAAGCCATGCCAGGCCATGCTAAGCCCTGCTATGCTAGGCCCTGCTAAGCCATGCTAGGCCCTGCTATGCCCGACTATTCCCTGCTAGGCCCTGCTACCGGTATACCTTGCTAGGCCCTGCTGCCTGCTAAGCCCTGCTACATGTAAGCCCTGCTGAGAGCTGCTGAGCTCTGCTCAGGGCCCTGCTACGCACCTTTGCTAATCCCTGCTAACCTCTGCTGAGCACTGCTAGGCCCTGCGAAGCCCTAGCTAGGCCCCGAGTCCCCGCAGCCAGGTCCTCTGGTGCGGCCATAACGCTCCAGGGTGCGGGGGCGTTATAATCCACCGGAAGGGGGGGGGGAGGGGGGTTTCTTAATGCCTTCTTGAGGTTAATGAAATAAGAAAAGAGGCCATGAAACCTGGGGAGATATCATGGCCCCCGCCATGATATCCACCCCGACCCTAGTCATCACTCCCCCTTTGCCGCCCCCGACTTTCGTTTTCTAACTCGGATCTCTGGCGGACCTCCAGGATGGTGCGGGTGCCCCCGACTACGCTCTCGGCGAAGCGTCGCTGCTGGGTTTTTTGGGGGGTCGATACGTTCCCGCCCGGAGCCGATGCCCCCCCCCCCCCAACTAGGAGGCCACATGCGGACCCCAAACCCCACCACCCCACGATTTTTATCGGGAGCGGCCAAGAGGGGGGTGTCCAAGAGGGGGGGGGGGGGCAAATCATGACCGGCGGCATGTGCGCGGCCCAGCGGGGAGGCCAGGGACGTAACGAAATAAGACGAGGCGGCATGAAATCTGGGGAAATATCATGGCCCCCGCCATGATATCCACCCCCCCCTAGTCAGGTCCCCCATCTTTGCCGCCCCCGATTTTCAGGGGGGGAGGTGGGGTTCGCTTCGTTCGGGAGCTCCGGAGCGAGGTGAACCCCACCTCGCCCCTTAGAAATCGCGAGGTGGTGGGGTTGGGGTCCGCATGTGGCCTCCTACCAGCGTTGCCCCTGAAAGAATACCTCGCCGCGCACCGAAAACTGAGCATACCGGAAACGGGTCCTGAGGTAAACGGGTCCTGGATCCTGGGGCATTCCCACGGGACGAGTCTCTGTCATCCGGATTCCTTTTCTGACAGGCCCAGGGCCCGTGGAGGGCCCCGAAAGCTGGAAAACGGCGAACAACCTCAGGACCCGTTTTCCTCTCAGAACCCGCTCCCCCCAAGTGAAGGGGCCCTGGGACAGACAGAGAAATACACACACACAAATAACAGGACTCCCCATATTTTCCCATATCTTCTGGGTTCTTGTCTTCCCCCCCACTTCCCATATTTCCCTATATCTTCTGGGGAATCGAGGACTACTTGTGTCCGCGTGTTTTTCCCCCTCCTGACCAAGGGCGAGCCAAAAGGCCACCTCGGCGCAGGGTCACAGCCCACACGTGCAACCGGCCCGCGCCCCGAGAAAGAAGCATCCCTCCGCCCGCAGGGGGCGGGGGGCCTGGCCCTCCTGCAGGAAGGCGGCGAGGGCCCTCCTGTTCGGACGCCCGAAGTGGGCGCGGAAAGCATGGGTACAATGCCTGAGGAGGCAACTACTCAGAGGAAAGAGAACTATGCACATGCACCGACTCTGGCCAGGCCCATCCTGAGCCCAGGATCGGTGCATACGCCCTCTGACCTTGGCCAGGAAAGTATATGCACCGATCCTGGGTCAAGGATGGGTGTTGTCCGGATGGGTGTTGTCAGGATCGGTGCATGTGCATAGTTCTCTTCGCCCGACTACTGGGAGGTTTTCGTCGGAAAGATGAAAGAGGATTAAACCTCATTGGGGGGCTGTTACGCCAGAGTGGGCCTCGGATTGAGCCGGATTAAACGGGATTCAGCGGGAGTAAGCCGGATTGAGCGGGATCAAGCGGGATTCAGCCGGATTTCGGACCAGGGCAAAATCAGAATTTGACCTCCCAGGAGTTGCATCCGAACGATGCCCAGCAACAAACGTCGTCCAAAACCGACCGCGGCCGCTGTCGGGCAGGCGGCCTTTTTGCCTTCAGCGAACAGCGCCCGCGGCGGCGCGGACAGCGGGTGGTGTTCAGAACGAGCAAGAACCGCTGCCGGGCATCGCACCCGCTCTTTCCGCACCCGTTTCGATCGCCCCGATCCTGGACTCCTCGGGGATGAGCTTCCGCTCCTGCAGGGCCGAGACCTGGTGCCCGCCGGGGAGAGGGACGGGAGCGAGAGGGGCCCGCCCCCCCTGCCCGGTGGGCAAGAGCACCTCGTCTTTCCTGTCGGTGGGCCGCCTCCGGCCAGCCCGAGTTCAAGGCTGCCCCCTCCGGCCTCGCCTTTACTCGGCGATCAGAGATCTGGTAGCAGGTCGGGCACATAGTCCTCCCACAGGCGGATCTTCGACGACAAGCAAGACATGGCCAGACACATAGCCCAACATGATCAAACACGATCGGAAGTTCGTGCCCAGATTGACTCCTACCATCTTCGAGTGCTCCTCCTGTAGAGGGGCACGCCCGCCTTAACTCTAGCATCGCCTCGCCTCGCCTGTCTCGGCGATCGGAGATCTGATGGCGGCAGGGCGCTCTGCGGGGGCAGCACGGGCAGGCAGATAACTACTGCCGCCTCGGGGCAGTGGCGCAGTGCACGAACCTCGGGGTGGAGTCGCCGCCAAGGTTCTCCAGGGCAGGTCCAAGAAGTGTGCGCGGGCCGTCGACGCGTTATGTTTGTGCCGTTCCCCTGGGATGCTCGAACATCAGAATAGATAGATCCGCGAGGGTATCGCCGTCGCACCCCCGTGGTGTAGCCAGTCTACCCTTCATATTGACAAGCCCGACTGCGCTAACAATCTTGGGGAAGTGTCCTCAGAAACTGAGTGCGAAGAGGGGATTTAGCCTGTGCCCACCGCCTGGGAACCGACGTCATGGGCACCCAGCGGGCGGTTGATATGGGTCAGTATGGGTATATTTTGGCCCCCGGGGGCCAAAGCATATCCATACTCACCGCCTTTGGAGGGCCACGAAAACCGATCCTCCAGGCGGTGATTATGCACACATCCCCGCCTCGAACTGAGGGCATCCCCGAGATTAGCGATCAGCATCGATACCAGGTGGTGCCAATCATAGAGGTGGGAATCTAGGACGAAGCCAGGACGAAAATCCGCCGATCTAGCGTGTGTGTTTCTGAGAGCGTGGACTTGAGCTCGCTCAAGCTTCGCTCTGCAAGTGGGGGGGGGGGGACGCCATTCCCGACGCATTTAATGCTCGGGGGCGAGGGGGTCCACAGGCCCCCAAGAAGACCCCAGGATGCTCTGGAACGGGGGGGGGACGCCATTCCCGACGCGTGTAGTGCTTGGGGGCGATGGGCCTACAGGCCCCCAATAAGCCCCCAGGAGGTCCTAGAAGGCCCCCAAGAGGCCAGAACGACGCACCAAGAGGCCCCCAAACGACCCCTAAGAGGCTTCCCCAGGTCACTTGTTCAATCCCCTGAGCCTCAGCCCTCAAGCCTGCGGATTCTTACCGGGCCCGGACCCCAAGCTCAAATCTCTTGAGGCTCCCCGCGCGCCCTCTGGGGCCCCCAGAATGTTCCCGCATGAGTTTTTCGAGCCCAAGAGAGGCCCAAGACGGGCCAACTGGGCCCAAAGAGGCGCTCTAGACGGCCCAAGAAAGCCCCGAATCACCAAACGATCGGTCCAAGACGCCCAAGATGGCTCCATGGCCAGTACCATTATAATAATCATCATCATCATCATCATCATCATCATCATCATCATCATCATCATCATCATCATCATCATCATCATCATCATCATCAGCATCAGCATCATCATCATCATCATCATCATCATCATCATCATCATCATCATCATCATCAACATGATCATCATCATGATCATCATCATGATCATGATCATGATCATGATCATGAAAATCATCATCATCACCACCACCATCATCATCATCATCATGATCACCATCATCATCATCAGCAGCATCAGCATCAGCATCAACATCATCATCATCAACATCAACATCAGCAATATCATCATCATCACCATCATCATCATCATCATCATCATCATCATCATCATCATCATCATCATCAACATCAACATCAACATCATTATCCAGAACGACCCGGATCGGCAGCACTGGCCGGAAGCCAGCAAAATAAAAGCGAAAGATAGTGACTCGAGAATGTCGGGAATCCGGCGGCTCTGGAAGATGTCTCGGGCGCCGCGACCTTCGCAGAGACTTCCGGAAAGCGTCGAGAGCGTTCTGGAACGCTCTACAACCGACTAATCCTCGTCCTAACCCTGCCCGACCATGGGGTTCTGAAGGATGGAGTCCCTAAGACGAGGTGCCTCGAACAACGTAGATCCGCCCTTGGATCCCTTCGTATCCTCAAATCCACATCGCTCAGAACCAAAGGTACCGACACCGCTACTCGCTGGACGTCTCCCAGGGTGCGTCCTGACCAGAATCACAAGGCGAATCCAGGGATGGCGACGAGGGCCGCCCAGAAGGCCCCAAAAACGGTAACGAGGCCAGTGCATCCGTCATCGCTACCTTTTCCTCCTCTGAGTCCTAGCCACGTCCGAGGATGCGCTCCAGGCTGGTAGCCCTTCCTGGCCAGGCCCTTCGTGGCCAGGCCCTATCTGCGGTGTGTACGCCACACCCTCCAGGCGTATACTCAGCTCCTGGGTCCAGGATGGCCGTCCAGGGAGCAGTGGATATGTATAGCTCTTGTCGCCTGAATATGTGCAACTCGTCCAAGGATGTGCTCCAGGCTGGCAACCCTGTTGAGCAGGTACCGACCGTCCCCGCATTCCGATATGACTGCCACAAAATGTTCTTAGAACCCAAACATGTTCGAATCAGACAAACAGTCTTCTTAGAGCATAAGGCCAATGTTTCAAACGAAGACAACCCCAGCCAGAAATGTCCTAACAGACCACTTCGGGCAGACCACAAAAGGTTCTCAGAACACTCCGTGGTGGGCCTATAGGCGAGCCAGGGAACTTCGCCACTTCTCCACCTTCCCCCCCCTGATGGGCCTGTTTTCCACCACCACCACCAGCACCACCATGAGTTGGAGGGGGGAAGGAGGTGGAGGGTGGAGGACGAGGAGGAGGAGGACGAAGAGGAGGAGGAGGAGTAGGAGGATGGAGGGAGGGAGGGAAAGAGGAAGGGAGGGAGGAGGAGAGGAGGCTGGAGGAGGAGAGGAGGGAGGAGGAGGAGGAGGAGGAGGAGGAGGAGGAGGAGGAGGACCCCCGCCCCCTCCAAGTTCTGGTGGTGGTAGACGGCGGGGCCCTCCCCGCCCCCCCGCGCCCCCAGGCCTGCGCCAGGGACGCCTGGGGCAGGTCGTGCGCCTGCGCGGGCCGCGGGCCCCGGCCCCGCCCGCACTTGCGGCGAGGAACACCCCCCCCCCGCCTCGGGCGCGTGGTGGCGGGGGGTGAACCTACCCATCGGTCGGAAGACCTACAGTAAGGATAGGCATCCCTCGCAAGGGTACCCTTGCATCCTCGCTTCCTGGGTCCATCCTTGGCCACTTTCGTTGGCCCGCGCCCCGCTCGAAACGCTTCGAAGTGGGCGCCCAAGGCCTTGCATCCTTGTCGCGCATCCTTACTGCGGGTTGACTGTACACTGTGCCCCTCAATAGTTCTGGGCCCCCCGATCACAAGCACCCCCTGGACTACAGGTACCCCCTGCCCGAACTACCGGTACCCCTCCCCCGGACTACAGATACCCCCACCCGGACTACAGGAACCCCACCCCCGGACTAAAGGTAACCCCCCCTCTGGACTACAAGAAACCCCACAGGACTACATCCACGCGTGCGTTGACGCGTGAACACGCGTTCACCCCCAGGCTGCAGGTCCCCCACCGGACTACAGGTACCCTTCACCCGGACTACAGGTAACCCGCCCCGGACTACTGGTACCCCTCCCCCCGGACTTCAGGTACGCCTCTCTTGGACTACAGGTACCCTCCCCGGACTACAGGTACTCCCACAACTATTGAGGGACACAGAGTAGGTAAAAGCATGAAGTACGAAGGCGGATAAAATAGATTGGGTTCAGGCCCTCCCAGAGAAGAACAAACCCCCTCAGAAGCATGCCGATTCTTGAAATTGGAAGGCGCTTGAAGTAGATTGGGATGTGGGAGTCCAAAAACACATACTTTCAACGACCTGCGTGCACATGGGGAACGAAGAAGGAACGAAGCGACCATACGCCAAAGGCGAGTGGGCAGGACAATCCGGTACGGAGGGGGAGGATGTGGGAGGGATGGCAGTGTAAGCCGTTGGTATGGGGCCTAAATTGTATCGAATTGCCGCGCACTGTTTTCTTGCCGCGCACTGTTTTCCGGGCATGAGAAATTAGCCCTTGACGGATCATCGGGCGAATTTGCCTCTATTCTGGCACTGTACAACTGATAGCCAAAAACGCAAACCTGGATTCATGGCTCTTGCACAATGAAGGAAGAAAAAATAATACAGATGAGGGGGAGACGAGGCGGAGTGGATGGAGTCTGTTCCAATCCAACAGATAGCAGCATGATGCTCTGACTAGCATCATCTCACCAGTGCCACCTGGGATTGGACGGATTCGAGGGAAGGAGAGGAGTCCAGCAGAGAGGGAGGTCCACCCCTCACCCTGCTCCTCGTCCCGTTTCACATCGTCCATCCCACTGCCCCCTCCTCGATCGTGCGTGTACCCACCCTCCGTTTCTTCGTTCCGTGCAAGCAAACTATTACATGGATCATGTAAATATCTGCGGATCTGGGAAATGCACATCGGTTGATATTCTCCCCGAAGGCTGGAGACTAGTACCAGTTAATCTGGCGATGGTGCACATCGACTGTTGCATGCGTGAATGTTCGCATGTCGCAGGGAGCTGGTGTAAACGACGGCTGGAATGGCTCGGATACAGCGGTGGGGAAATTTCGAAAACAACCTTGACAATAGATCCACGTAAGGCTGGGTGAGGGGGTAATTCCGTGGACTTGTGAGACTGCGTCGGGCACCATTCCAGGGCTACCTGATTGTTTTGTTGTTTTCTCTCGGGGCCAAATCTGCAGTTCGCGCTTATGTCATGCTTTACCTCCCTTGGCGTATGGGGAACACAATGAGGTCAAAGGGCAAGGCAGCACCCTGCGTAATTACCGAGCGAACGCCCCTGACATCTTTGGTGCGAGACGCCAGGCCACGGTACACATATCCACCGCTGGGGAGCCGACCTCGCAGGGCCCCATGGGGGAGGTGGTAATGTATGCACCTGGGCCACATAAGGGGGTCCGCACATCCGCCACGCTTGCAGTGGCTGGTATGCGTCGGGCCCGTTCGTGATGTGCGAAGCAACATTGAAGGCCCTCCAGCGCATCGAGCCCACGATGCGCTCAGTTGTGCGTCGTCCAAGTCCCTGCTTTTGTTGGCCTTCCTGGCAGACAGTGGCCCCGAATACATAGCCTTGGGGAGGCTCCCCCCAAATGCCCCCCCCTAACCCCCCCCCCACACCCCACGCAGCCGCCCGAGCGCGGTGGCGGAATCGCGCGGCAGCGCAACTGGATATCCATATCCACTGCATCCTGGGGTCCAGCAGGGTCGGCTCTCAAGGCGGTGGCTACGTATGAACTCTGGCCTCGAAGTTGGGCCCTGCCGACCCAGGCAACAGCCAGCGCACACGAGCTAGAATTCGCAACAAAAACACATGATGAGGTTTGGGCGTGGCTGGGTTAGGTTGGGGACGAAAGGCGTCCAGCGTACCTGGGCGAGACACTGGGGCCATACCAAGGCCCCCGAATGCAACATGCTCCATTGATTGGGTTGGTGTCTGTGGCTCCTCCCATGTAGTGCGCTGGGACTTCAGATGTGCGCGCCGACCAATTCGTCTGTGTGAAACATGCCCACAAGGATCTATCAACGTTCGCGCTGCCTCAATCCATGCTTCGGCTGACTTGGCCGTCCTCCCTCTCCCACTGTCTCCCCACATCCTCCCCCTGCTCCCTCTTTTCTACTTCGTTATCCTCATCCTGGTTCCCTCATTCTACTGCTCGCCATCACACTCAAACACGTCCGCTTCGACCTCACACGTCTTTGTCGGAGTCCGTTTCCGAGGGAGTCCCAAAAGTTCACTCCTCGTCGTTCAACTGATTATGCCCTCCTCATCCTCATCCTCAGCCTCTCCTTCCTCGTCTGCCCTCTTCCTCATCCCCCTTCTCCTCAATCGTTGTTGCTGACGGCCCGCTGCCTTTGCTTTGAGAACTGCAATAGCTCGCTCCAGTGCGGAGATGGACTCCGAGTAGTCCTGCGGGGTCAGGTAAAAGAAGGGGACGCGGGGCATGATCCGTCTCTGGACCCAAGGCACGGCCTCTACACCACGGTGCGACTGAGTGCTGAAACACGCATGGCTCCAAGGCGCGATGGTCGGCACCACCCTCACACACGCACGCGCAACAGCAGCGAGGCAACCCTCGCCATCCACTGCAGACGGCGTGCTGCCGCAAGGAACGCCACAGAGCGAACGCAGGAGCCTCTGCAGCCACGGCGAACCTCGGCCACGAGGGGGCCCTCTCCGGCCCGGCTCTGGGGGAGCGGCCCGAACGGCAAAGGCCCTCCCTGGAAGAAGAAAACACGGCGTGAGCATAAACTGTCGACGGGGCGCACCTGCGCCAGGCCCCCCTCCCTGGCGCGCGGAGCGCGCCGGAGGCGTCGCCAGGGCGCTCCAGCGCAGATCCAAGGAAACCGCGCGGAGCGTCGACGGCTTATGTTTGTAGCGCTGTTTCTTCTTCGGCTCCCGAGCCCAACGCGGTCCTCACTCCAGCGCCCGGGCTGCAGACTCGGGTGCTGCCGCCGCAGCCGTGTTCCCATCATGACACCACGCCGGGGGGGGGGGCCTCAGCCACGACGGGGCTCTCTGGGCCCCGGGAGCGGCCCCAGCAACAGAGGCCCTCCCGAGTTCTTCCTCCTCCACCACCTCCTCGTCCTTTTCCTCCTCCTCCTCCTCCTCCTCCTCCTCCTCTTTCTCCCTCCCTCCCTCCCTCCCTTCTCCTCCCCCTCCCCCTCCCCCTCCTCTTACCCCTCCACAATTACTCAATATGAATACTACTCTCCCTCTTCCCCTGATGACGGTTTGAAAGTGTCCGACCCCCCCCCCCCCTGCGTACTGTTTTTTTACACACACACACACAGATTTCCCCGGAGTTGGGTTTCCGCCTGCATTTTTTCCAAAATGCTGCTCTCGCTGAGGCGCCAGCCTCATTTTCGGGCCCCGCTCGTTCCGAATCGTGCTCCCGCTGCAGCGCTGGCCTCATTGCCGTGCTTCCGCTCGTTTCGAATCTTGCTCCCGCTGCAGCGCTGGCCTCATTTCCGCGCTTCCGCTCGTTTCGAGTCGTGCTCCCGCTGCAGCGCTGGCGTCATTTCCCGTGCCATACCACGGCATGCAATGCAATGCTAGGTTGATACTACGCTTTGCGGTGCTCTCCTACGCCATGCCATGCCGTGCTCTACAATGCATCGCATACCCTTTCGGGATCATTGCCCTGCTCGACATCCGACTGTGCGAGTAAAGAGGGGATCTGCGCCATGTTAAGGGATGGGAGGGAGGGGTAGGATGTCAGATATGACGCGAGCGCACCTAGCTTGCCCATCCCCCTTCCCCCCCCTCCCCCTCCCCTTCTCCATCCCCCTCCTCCTCCTCCTCCTCCTCCTCCTCCTCCTCCTCCTCCTCCTCTCCTCCTCATCCTCCTCATCCTCCTCATCCTCATCCTCATCATCATCATTCCTCATCCTCCCTCCTCCTCCTCTCCTCCTCCTCCTCTCATCATCATCATCATCATCATCATCATCATCATCATCATCATCTCCTCCTCCTCCTCCTCCTCCTCCTCCTCCTCCTCCTCCTCCTCATCATCAGCATCAGCATCAGCATCATCAGCATCAGCATCAGCATCATCAGCATCATCATCATCATCATCATCATCATCATCATCATCATCATCATCATCATCATCATCATCATCATTATCATCATCATCATCATCATCATCCTCATCCTCATCCTCATCCTCATCCTCATCCTCATCCTCCTCCTCCTCCTCCTCCTCCTCCTCCTCCTCCTCCTCCTCATCATCATCCCCCTCCTCCTCCCCCTCTCCGTCCTCACTCCAGCGCCCTGGCTGCAGACTCGGGTGCCGTCGCGGTCGCGCGGATGCGCGCGTTGCCACCGCGGCGTCGCGCCGAGGGGGAGGGAGGGGGGGAGGGCGACGCCTCGAGGGGACGCGCACCAAGCTTGGAGCAGGAGGGCGCGGAGAGGGGCAACGAAGAAGAGGAAAGACAAGAGGATCAGGGGAGGGAGGGAGGGAGGGAGGAAGGCAGGGAGGAGGGGGAGAAAGAGGAGGATGAGGAAGAGGAGGACGAAACGCCTGTTCGGGATTCCTATGGGCCGAGGGAGAGGCCCTTGGGCCTTCCCTTGCTGTCGGCCATCCTGGCAAAGGCCAGGGCGGCCGCGGCCGCAACTAGACACCAGTGGCCATCACATCAGCAGCTGCGGCCATCAGGGCACCTCCATCACCACCTCAACCCCTGTTTTCTGCGCACGCACCTCTGTTTAATTTCCACTGCATGAGCTTCGTCATCGTTCCTCACCCCATTTCCGCCACCAGCGCACAGTGCGCCACCGCGCTGGCCATCCTGGCAAGGGCCAGGACGTCTGCGGCCGCAACTAGACACCAGTGGCCATCAAATCAGCAGCTCGGCCATCAGGGCACCTCCATCACCACCTCCACCCCCGCTTTCCCAACATGCACCTTCTTTTAACTGCCACCGGCTCCTCTGCCTGGCCGCCAACTGCATCTGCACTGTCTAGCCTCCACAGCCTGTCCCCGCAGCCAGCAGGGCAACGACCTTCGGCCACCTCAGTGCCCACCCCCACCCACATTCCATCCTGTGTCCACGTGGGCGCCCCCCGAGGGTTGACCCAGGGCACACCCAAGGGCACCGACCCCAAGAAATCGGGGGACCCACATGGGAGGGGACCCAAGACAAGGCCTTTGGGGTCCACCTGCACCTACCACCTTTGCTTTGCAGCATACCTCCACCTCTTCTTCCTCCCTCTCGGCCGTTATTATGATGGTGCCTCCTCTCCTTCTCGCCCTTACTCCTCTACTGGGGTCGAGTCCCACACTTTTGATCTACCTCTCGCGTCTCACCTTTTCCCCAAGTAACCCCCGACCCCCTCTGTGTTCAGACGAGGGGCGCTCGGCAACACAGGCGCTTGCAGGATCACCTTCATCTACTGTTAGCAGCAGCAGGAGGACGAGAGAAGACCGGATGAGCCAGCCTCGAACTGATCCCCATCCCCAAGACCGGATGGTGCGGAGATCGCGGATGGACAGAACCCCCTCTGGCAAAACGTGGTTTAGTGAAAACGACCTCGGGCCCAAACCTGGCGGCCGCAAGCCTGGGGAATGACGGCCGCGGCGCCCTCTCGAGAACCAAAAACGGACAATTCACGAATCGACGTGTCGAGGTGGGGGCTCTGTCCACCCCCGAGGAAAGACGCGAGGATGAGCACGAGAGAAGACCGGGTGAGCCAGTCTCGAACTCATCCCCATCCCCAAGACCGACCAGCCCGAGGCGATGGTCAATCTGAGGGTTGCCTCTTCAGAACACCAGAAGCATCCTCACGATCGACACCCAGTCAGTATGATGTCAAACACAAGGATGAGATTACGCTTCAGGCTAGTAGCCGAAATGTCTTTTAGAACCCTCCCCCAAGAATGGAAACGAAATTCGCCGGCCCAACGGGCCAGAGGCGTGCTACGATCTCCGGGTAACTGCTCAACAGAATTTCTAGTTCGCGCGCGCGGGGCGGGCCCTGGGGGTCCCCGGACGAAAAGTACCCCGGCAAGGTCCCGGCAAACTCCCGGCAGACTCCCGGCAAGGTCCCTTCTCGGAGCCCAGGAGGGCTCCAAACGGTCCAAGAGAAGCCCGAGAAGCCCTCCAGACGGTCCAAGAGCGCCGGGAAACGCCGAAATATCACTCCCAAGCGCCTACGATGGCCTCAAGACGACCCAACAGGCCTTCGAGACGCCCCAAGAGGTCCCTAAGCGGCGCCCCGAGAGGGCCCCCACAAGCAAAAATCGTCCCATTTCCGGAGGAAAACGTACATGTTTAACATATCCGCCTCTTCGTCTTTCACACCTTTCAATGCGGCCCTCGAGGCCCCCAAGATCACCCCAAAACGGCCCGAGAGACCCTCAAGACCGCTCAAAGACGGCCCAAGAACGCTCCAAGAAGGCCCAAGAAACCCTCAAGAACTCTTTTTCGCAGCCCAGGAGGGCTCCGAATCGGTCCAACAGGGGCCCGAGGAGCCCTCCAGACGGTCCAGGAAAGCCGGGAAACGCCGAAATATCACCCCCAAGCGCCTACGATGGCCTCAAGACGGCCCAACAGGCCTTCAAAACGCGCCAAGAGGTCCCTAAGAGGCCCCTGGGCGGCGTCCCAAGAGGCTTCCCACTAGCAAAAATCGTCCCACTAGCAAAAATCGTCGCATTTTTAACATATCCGCCTCTTCGTCTCTCACACCTTTCAAAGCGGTCCTCGAGGCCCCCAGGATCACCCCAAAACGGCCCGAGAGACCCTCTAGACCGCTCAAAGACGGCCCAGGAGCGCTCCAAGAAGGCCCAAGAAACCCTCAAGAACTTTTTTTTCGGAGCCCAGGAGGGCTCCAAATCGGTCCAAGAGGGGCCCGGGAAGGCCCTCCAGACGGTCCAAGAGAGCCGGGAGACGCCGACGTATCACCCCCAAGCGCCTACGATGGCCTCGAAACGGCCCAAGAGGTCCCTAAGCGGCGTCCCAAGAGGGTTCCCACTAGCAGCAATCGTCCCATCCCCTGAGGAAAACTTGCATTTTTAACGTATCCGCCTCTTCGTGTTTCACACCTTTCAAGGCGGTCCAGGAGGCCCCCAAGATCACCCCAAGACGGCCCGAGAGACCCTCAAGACCGCTCAAAGACGGCCCAAGAGCGCCCCAAGAAGGCCCACGAAACCCTCAAGACGGTCCAAGAGGCCACAAGACGGCCCCATGATTGAGGTCCACAGGGGCAACCTGAGCGGAAATTTTAAACCTCCCGCCCAATCGCGCCCCCGAAAGGCTCCTACAAGCCCCCAGGTAGCCCCACGAAACCCCCAAGAGAGCCCAAAAAAAACCCCAACAGGCCGCAAGAAAGCCCCAAGAGGCCCCCAAGAGACCCCCGGGAAACTCCCAGGAGGCCCCCAAGAGGCCAAGCAGACCCCCCCAATAGAC